ATTTGATAAAAATGAAATTCATTGTTTAAGTTTGACCTCATATTACATAGTTTTGGTAGGTCTAAGGCAGATGGTACAGAGATTAAATAGTGTTTGGTCAAAATAGGGACCATCCTTCCAACTGACCATCACTGTACTGTAAGCTGTAGGTATAGTAATTATTAGCAGGGGTTCCCTCAATCATTATCCAACAGTTTTATGACTATCACCTCAAGCATGATCCTTTCTGTGAGTGTTGCTTCCCCCCCCCCCCCCCCATTCTCTGCTTTTGCTGTGTCTTATCTCTAGCCTTTTTTTTTTTTCTTCTTTTTCATCCCCCACATCTCTTCTAACATTCTGCTAAAATTTTGTGATTAGTACTGCTTGGACCTTGAAGAAGGGGACATACCCCGAAAGCTTGTCCTCAAAATTATATGTTAGTGCAAATAAAAAAAGAGTATCACCTGAGGACTAGTGAAACCCCTGAAACCAGTGAACACACATTATGTAGGAGTCTTGATGTACAGTACTTTAGGAAGAAAAATGAAGGGTTTTTATTTGTTTTTTTTATGTGTTGGGTTTTGTGTTTAGTTTTTTTTGTTCGGGTTTTTTTTTTTGTATTTTGTTTAATTTTTTTATTCTAATTTTTCAAGGTTTTTCAAAAAATTCCAGAAAAAAACATTTGTTTGATACATTTTTCTTCTTTTTCCATTTAAATTCCCTGAGACTAGAAAGTTTTTTCAAGGGTTCCTCCACGAGAAAGAGACGATTAAAAGGTTTTTTTTATTTTTTTGTAGCTAAGCCTCAAGAAAGGTACGATTAAACCAGCTGAGGACCCTTAATGTGTGAAACAGTGAACACACATTATGTAGGAGTCTTGATGTAGTAGTGTTGCTCCACATGTACAGTGGGGAAAATAATGATATGATCCCCTGCAGATTTTTTTTTTAGTTTGCCCACTTAGAAAGAAATGAAGGGTCTATATTTTTTTTTATCATAGGTGTATTTTAAATTATAAAGACAGAATATTAACCAAAAAATCCAGAAAAAAACATGACACAAATGTTATAAATGGAGTTGCAGTTCAGTAAATAAAATAAGTATTTGATCCCCAAGCAAAACATGATTTAGTACTTGGTGGAGAAACCCTTGTTGGCAAGCACAGAGGTAAGTGTTTTTTTTGTAGTTGGTTACCAGGTTTGCACACATCTCAATCCTTAAGGTTCCTTGGCTGTAGCTTGGCAACTCAAAGTTTTCCACTCCCTCAATAAATTTTCTATAGGATTAAAGTCTGGAGAATGGCTAGGCCACTCCAGGACCTTAAAGTGGTTGTAAAGGTGGTTGCATGAAGGTAAAAAAAACCTTCTGTCTGCAGCAGTGCCCCTAGCCCCCTCAATACTTAGCTAAGCCTCATCGAGATCCAACGATGTGTATGACAGCCTTGGCTGTCCCGGGTCTCTCCCTTCTCATTGGCTGAGACAGCAAGCAGGAGCTATTGGCCAAGTCGCGGCTCTGTGTTAGAATGGATGCATGAAGCAGCAGATGCCCCAATAGCAAACGTGTGGGGGCACCCGACAGGAGGGAGGGGCCAGCAGAGCCTGCGTTTGACCCGAGAAGAGAAGGATCCAGGCTGCTCTGTGAAAAACCACTGCACACAGTAGGTAAATGTAGACATGTTTGTTATTTTCCAAAAATAAAAAATTAACCTTTAGAATTGCTTTAATGTGCTTCTTGAACCACTCCCTTGTTGCCCTTGGCAGTATTTTTTTTTGGTCATTGTCATGCTGGAAGACCCATCCATGGCCAATCTTCAGGGAAGAAAGTTGTCATCCAAGATTTTATAATACATGGCCCTGTCCATTGGCCCCCTCAATGCAGAAAGGTTGGCCTATACCTTTAGCAGAGAAAAAGCCCCAAAGCATAATCTTTCCACCGTGCTTGATTGTAGGGATGGTGTTCTTAGGGTCATAGTCAGAATTTATCTTTCTCCAAACACAGTGAGTTGAGTTAATGTCAAAGAGCTCAATTTTGGTCTCACCTGACCACAGCACTTTCTCCCAATCCTTCTCTGAATCATGTAGATGTTAATTGGCAAACTTCAGATGGGCCTGTACATATGCCTTCTTGAGAAGGGGGACCTTGCCTGCAGGATTTCAACCCACGGTGGCATATTGTGTTACCAATGGTTTGTTAGGTGACTGTGGTCCCAACTTCCTTGTGATCATTCACAAGTCCTCCCGTGTAGTTCTCGACTGATCCCTCACTTTTCTTATGATCATCCTTACCCATGAGGAAAAATCTTGCAAGGAGCTCCAGAGCGAGGGTGATTGATGGTTATTTTGTATTTCTTCCATTTGCGAATAATCGCTCCAGTTGTCTCCTTCTCACCAAGCTTCTGGCTGATAGCCTTGTAGCCCATTCCAACCTTGTGCAGGTCTACATTCTTGTCCCTGACGTCCTTTGACAGCTGTTTGGTCATTTGCCCATGGTGGTGAGGTTTGAATGGAAGAAAGAAATTCTGTGGAAAGGTGTCTTATATACACATAACGAGTTGTCATTAGGAGCACCTTCTTAAATTAACAGGACTAATCTGTGCATTACATGAGAACATAGGCAATCTGTGGGAGACAGATTTATTGTTGGTTGGTAAGGGATCAAATACTTATTTTACTCACTGAACTGCAACTCAATTAATACAATTTGTATCGTGTTTTTTCTGAAATTCTTATTGATATTTTGTCGCTATCATTTAAATTACACCTATGATAAACACGATAGACCCTTCATTTCTTTGTAAGTGGGCAAACTTACAAAATCTGCAGTGGATCAGATAATTATTTTCCCCACTGTATCTGTAAACGTGTGCACCAAAAACATCTGTTTTTAGCCTAAAATGTTGAATCGCCCTGTATAAGTACCTTTCGGTTTTGCTTTATCTCATAACAAGAAAGAAGATATTCAACTCTTTAAATTAAGGGGTGTCCGGGCTTGGTACTGAGATATTTACAGAGTTACAATCACATCCAATACTTGCAAAAAGTGTCTGGCACCTGGAAGGGCCTACCAAAGCCACTACTTGCCCACATATTACAACATCACTCAAAAGAACATTTGAGGTTGATACAGAATAAGTTAATATACCAGCACACCTCCGCTTAAATTAAGCGTTGTCACCGTAACCAAAAAATACTACAACTACCGCAAAAAACCCAAGAGATGGGTACACAGTGGTTCCTATTGGTGACAAATGTTCCTGGGCTGGGATGCCGCAAAAGCAATACTTAATTCAAAATACAATCAAACAATAATGTTTTATTACTAAATATTAGTTAAAACAAACACTGATGTGGATTCCAAGCAACTGCCAGCATAAATATAGCAATAATGTAGTGTGAATAGACAAAAGAGACAAGACATACATGAACAAAACACAAAATAAACGTCCAGACACATGAAGAGTCACACATGGGATCTATACCGCAGCAATTGCTGCATGATAAGATTCAGAGTCTTCTATATGTATTTTCCCCCATGTGTGAGTCCTAGGAACCCTGAGGACTAGATCATGCCATAAAGCCTCAAGTGCACTTAGTATACCATGAATATCAAAACTTATAGAGCATGCTTGATATATGTAAAAGGGCCCTGTATGAGTCAATATGTCAGTCCTTGTTTGAAAGTTCATCAACTCAATTGTTATGTCCCATATAGAAACAGATACTTAATTACCCACTTAAATGGTTTTTATGTGGGGTGTTTAGAAGGGGGGAGAGACTGGAAAATTTGTCACCAATATTAACCACTGTACCCATCTCTTGGGTTGTTCACATATTACAACATTTCTGGTCCAGGCCATGGTGACAAATAATGAATATTTTTCGATAATAGGAATGTATAAAACATTCTCTCTATCAGACTGTTTTCATAAATGGTAGCACACAGTATAGCAGACAGTATACTACAGTAGATATTTTGCTTTAGAATGTCTCAAACCTTTGAGGCTCACCATAAGCATTGCAATCTAACTGTACAATCTATTGTACTCACTCCTTTATTATTAATTATCAAAATGATGTAATATAAGGACCCATCTACACTAGACAATCAATTTGTATCCAATCCAACTGGTTATTTGCACTATAGAGTTGTTGGAGGAGTTGGTACACCCAGATTGTAATGTGTCTGGTGTGTTTAAGAGAACTTTGGAAAATCAAGGGGCCCCAACGAAAAAAGTTACAGCTCAAAACAAGCCAAAAGAATGTGTAGGAGAAAAATAAAAGAGAATCAAAGGTGTGGAGGAGCTCTGGGGTCTTACATGTCCTGGAGGTGGCTTGTTTCTTCTGGGGTCTGTGACATCGTAAGATGCTGCTGGAGGTCTTGCAGTGACTTTGGGAAGTGTCTGAGTACCTTGACACAGCAGATCCCAACCTACTGTTATTTCTGGTGTCTGTTTCCAGCACGTGTTAATTATTAAATACCCCTGATTGTCTGCAATCCAAGGTAGAGACACGCACATGCAATCGTTGTGAGGTAGAGCAGATATAAGAGAGAAATACCATACAGACAACTTATTCTGTCAACTTTCACATCTATACAGAAGAGGGGACAGGTGAACTACAAGGTCGTAGCTTGTGCCAGTTCAGTTTCATTAAAACATTACTGTATACAGTAATTACACATACAGAATGCTGACGGGTACCCTGATTTTAAGTGTATGTCTAAGAAAAAATTTAAAAAATTTCTCTATTTTTTAGCTAAATCCCATATTTATTATTTTTTTAAAATGCTGCAAGTACAGAAAAATACCTGTTGAAATTAATTAACTCCAAATTTCCTGCAGTGAGCTGACAATGCTCTGGCTCTGAGGAAGAAGGTGTTGCCTTCAAAATGCATCAGCCATTAAGGAACTCCAGAGAGGTCCCCCTGTACTTTAGAGCTCACTGTACTATAGGGCTACAGTTGAGCATAGCTCGATGAGCAATTTTAATCCTTATGTTTGTGAGCAGGGGCAGACTGACAATTCATGGGGCCCCCGGGCAATAGGGCATCATGGGGCCCGTGTCCTTGCCCAAACTCAAAAAAGCCTATGAAAAAGGTACCAGGGGCATCTCATGGGCCCCCCTACTGACCCCGGGCCCTCGGGCAGTGCCCGAGTTTCCAAATGGTCAGTCCGCCCCTGTTTGTGAGTATAATTTATGATGAATAATCTAATCCTTTCATGCTGCTATGAATATGAATCAAAACCGTGTACTCAACCAAACAAGGAAAATATAGTGTGCTAAAAACATCCCCACCAAAAATATGATTCTACATACACTAGGTTGCCAAAGTATTGGTCGGCCTGCCTTTACCCACACATGAGCTTTAATGGCCCCCCAGTCTTCGTCTGTAGGGTTCAATATTGAGTTGGCCCACCCTTTGCAGCTATAACAGCTTCAACTCTTCTGGGAAGGCCATCCACAAGGTTTAGGAGTGTGTCTATGGGAATGTTTGACCAGTCTTCTAGAAGCACATTTGTGAGGTCGGACAAGAAGGCCTGGCTCGCAGTCTCTGCTCTAATTCATCCCAAAGGTGTTCTATGGGGTTGAGGTCAGGACTGTGTGCAGGCCAGTCAGGTTCCTCCATCCCAAACTCAATCATCCATGTCTTTATGGACCTTGCTTTGTGCACTGGTGAGCAGTCATGTTGGAACAGGAAGGGGCCATCCTCAAACTGTTCCCACAAAGTTGGGAGCATGAAATTGTCCAAAATGTCTTGGTATGCTGATGCCTTAAGAGTTCCCTTCAATGGAACTAGAAGGCCAAGACCAACCCCTGAAAAAACAACCCCACACCATAATCCCCCTCCACCAAACTTTACACTTGGCTCAATGCAGTCTGGCAACCGCCAAACATGTCCATTGGATTGCCAGACAGAGAAGCGTGAATCGTCACTCTAGAGAACACGTTTCCACTGCTCTAGAGTCCAGTGGCGGCGTGCTTTATACCATTGCATCTGAAGCTTTGCATTGCACTTGGTTATGTAAGGTTTGGATAGAGCTGGAAACCCATTCCATAAAGCTCTCAACATACTGTTTTTGTGCTAATCTGAAGGCCACACCAAGTTTGGAGGTCTTTAGCTATTGACTCTGCAGACAGTTGACAACTTCTGTGCACTGTGCGCTTCAGCATACACTGACCCCGCTCTGTCATTTTACGTGGCCTACCACTTGGTGGCTGATTTGCTGTTGTTCCCAGTTGCTTCCACTTTGTTATAATACCACTAACAGTTTGACCGTGGAACATTTAGTAGCCAGGAAATGTCACGGATGGACTTATTGCACAGGGGGCAACCTATCACGGTACCACGCTTGAAATCACAGAGCTCCTGAGAGCGACCCATTCTTTCACAAATGTTTGTAGAAGCAGTCTGCATGCCTAGGTGCTTGATTTTATACTAATAACAAGAGAACATGAGGCCATATATATTTATCACTATCGCTGAACGTATTTTATATGCCAAGTAACAAAAAAAAAAACAGACAGCAAAAAATGGGGGGATGTGAAAAGAGATTCACAAGAAAAAGCAGTTACATTATGGACAGAAAGAGATACCCAAAAATGTATAAAAAAAATTATGCTTTATTGCAAATTTTGCACATATTTAGACATTTAAGTAAAAACCACAGTTAGCCATTACCACAAAATGAGACAATGCCAAAGAATAGACCTAAAACAAAAAATTATAAAAGAAAGACGTCATGACCGGCCATGAATATAATGTGCTGTAAAGACAATGACCCTAGATCTAATGTATACAGTTGCAAGAAAAAGTATGTGAACCCCTTGGGATTACGTGGAGTTTTGCATGAATTGGGCATAAAATGTGCTCTGAACATCATCTAAGTCACAACAATAGAAGAACACAGTCTGCTGAACATAATACTACACAAACATTAGATATTGCCATGGTTCAATTGCACATAACATGTAAACATTCACAGTGCAGGGAGGAAAAAGTATGTGAACCTTTGGACTTAATAACTGGTTGACCTTCCTTTGGCAGCAATAACCTCAACCAAACATTTCCTGTAGTTGCAGATCAGACCTGCACAACGATCTGGAGTAATTTTGGACCACTCCTCTTCATGAAACTATTTCAGTGTAGCAATATTCTTGGGATGTCTGGTGTGAATCGCTCTCTTAAGGTCATGCCACAGCATTTCAATCGGGTTGAGGTCAGGACTCTGACTGGGCCACTCCAGAAGGCGTATTCTGTGCTGTTGCAGCCATTGTTTTGTTGAATTACTTGTATGCTTTGGGTCATTGTCCTGTTGCATCACCCATCCTCTGCGGAGCTTCAGTTGGCGGACAGATGGTCGTACGTTTTTCTGCAAAATGTCTTGATAAACTCTATAATTCATTTTCCCATCAATGACAACAATCCGTCCAGGCCCTGAGGCAGCAAAGCAGCCCCAAACCATGATGCTCCCTCCGCCATGTTTTACAGTGGGGATGAGGTTTTGATGTTGGTGTGCTGTGCCTTTTTTTCTCCACACATAGTGTTGTGTGTTCTTCCCAAACAACTCAATCTTGGTTTCATCTGTCCACAGTATATATTCCCAGTAGTGCTGTGGAACATCCAGGTGCTCTTTTGCAAACTTCAAATGTGCTGCAATATTCTTTTTGGACAGCAATGGCTTCCTCCGTGGTGTCCTCCCATGTACTCCATTCTTGTTTAATGTTTTCCTTATTGTAGATGTGTCAACAAAAATGTTAGCATGTGCCAGAGATTTATGTAGGTCTTTAGCTGACACTCTGGGATTCTTCTTTGCCTTATGCAGGAATCTGCGCTGTGCTCTTGCAGTCATTTTTACAGGACGACCACTCCTAGGGAGAGTAGCAACAGTGCTAAACTTTCTCCATTTGTAGACAGTCTGTCTTACTGTGGACACATGAACATCAAGGCTTTTGGAGATACTTTTGTAATCCTTTCCAGCTTCATGCAAGTCAGCAATTCTTGATCGTAGGTCTTCTGAGAGCTCTTTTCTGCGAGGCATGGTTCACATCAGACAGTGGTTCTTGAAACCAGTAAACCCAAAACAGGTGTGTGTTTTTTAAGGGCAGGACAGCTGTCAGCAACACATCCAATATCATCACACTGATTGGAGTCAAGGTTGGCTCACTCCTGGCTCCAATTAGCTCTGGGAGAAGTCATAAGCTAGGGCCTCACATACTTTTTCCCCCCTGCACTGTGAATATTTACATGTTATGTGCAATTAAACTATGGCAACATCTAATGTTTGTGTAGTATTATGTTCAGCAGACTGTGTTCTTCTATTGTTGTGACTTAGATGACGTTCAGAGCACATTTTATGCCCAATTCATGCAAAACTCCACGTAATCCCAAGGGGTTCACATACTTTTTCTTGCAACTGTATGCAGCACAGGCACATAGGAAACACCATGTAGGGGATGTACACAAATATAAGCATAAAGGACTATGCATCAATATTACAATGCAAAAACATTAGTACCAATGGAATATACTGTATGGACTGGGGAGCCCAACTAGACAATGCTAGTATGCTAGTATGTTATCCAACTCAGGGCAAGAATCAAAATAGAGAGATATATGCAACACATAAATTTGAATGCTGATATATGCACCAGTGAAACCTGATGCTGTAATATACAGTATGAAAACACATTGTCAGACGAATATTGCTTTCTGAACACAAATAGGTACTGTAGATCTTGACTTTTAGGCTGAAAACAGTTTCCAGAAGTAACATTGGGTAAACATAGATCTTTAGAAAACAAACTTGACAATAGCGACTTCTCCATATGACATCCGTCATCTATAGTTGAAGTGGCAGGGCCCTGCCAATGTAATGTAGGAATGCGAATCTCTTTTCACATCCCCCCATTTTTTTTTCTGCAACTGTGGGCATGGAGGTGATTGGAACACCTGAATCCAATGAGGGTTGGCCCAATACTTTTGGCAATATAGTGTATATCATATATATCAATGATCCCAACACCAATTAAGTCCCCAGAAAGAAAAGCATATAGAAATAGGACGATGATGTTGATTGTTTTTTTTATTTTTATTATTATTATTTATTATTATTATTATTAACAAGCTCTACTGTGCAATTCTCAAAAAGAAACACTCGGTGGCAGCATCACATCATTTTCTCAGTATACTGAAAGTATACAAAGAAATAAATCCCAGCTCCAGAACAAGCTTTGAATGTATTAGGTGGAAGGTTAGAATCTCATTTGGGGCAATGATTTTCTGCCAGGGGAGTGCTAAATTTATTCTTGATTGAAAGTTTGAAAATCCCTACATTGAAATAAAGTTTTTCTTAAACAGTTTATTAGCGATGCACATAGGTTTAGAGTTTCATGCAATGAGAGTATTTTGCTGCACTGAATAACCTGGAACTGAACTGTCTTATCTGAAAAGTGTTGTCTCCAAGGAAAAACATTGGCTCAACTGTGCACTTTTAACATCCCTGAACCACAAGTCTAAATGAGCCCTAATGGTCTAAATCTAAATATGTGCAAGAATCCTTTATAGACACATATGGAAAGCTAGATGTACCATTTTCAAATTGCATATTGGTGCTAAATAACAGAGCCCCATAGTATAACTGGTGCTAACACTGTTGTGCACTCTCAGGAGCTGGGAGACTGTGTTTAAGGTCAAGCAGTTGACAAGGGAGCAAGTCTTAGACTTTAGGTGACCTCTGACCCCAACACAGCAATTAAAATTCCAGGCTCAAAACAAATTTTTAAAAATCTGTAATATTTGTAAGTAAACCAACAGTTACAATGATTTAAAAATGTATTTCAACATTTGCATAAGTCATAACCTTCTCCTTATAAAGTAACTGTGTTGGGTAACAGAAGGTGAGCATATAACAAAAATCCACAAAATGAAGATACCCGCAATGGAAACCAAATGTCAAACTGGTCAGCAGATAAGAAATTTAAACAAAGGAATTATATTCAAATCTCAGCTATTCCAGTAAAAGTTGAAGTTGGACACACCAGTCCCACCTTCTAAACCTCCCTATTGGTCCTTAAATGTGGTGAAGAACTGACTTCCTTTACGGACCAATAGGATCAAGAATGCCGTGGTGGCCAAGCTTGAATATTACAGTCAAGATTTGTATTTACAAATGATAATATACGTATATATACACTGCTCAAAAGAATTAAAGGAACACTCTGAAAACACATCAGATCTCAATGGAGAAAAATCTCCTTCTGGATATCTATACTGATATGGACTGGGTAATGTGTTAGGAACGTAAGGATACCCCATCATTTGATGGCAAGGAAAATG